GTTAATAAAAATTGTAATTAAATAATTCAACAAATTTTTATTAAGAATCTTCTGTGCTCTAAGCACTGCTTTGGGTGCTAGGGATACAGAGAGATTATAAACTATCTTGGCCTCAGGACTTCACTATTATTCAGAGCAGTAATACCCAACCTGGCTGTTCATCACAACTACATGAGAAATCTTTTAAAAATCATAAATTCATAAGTTCTAAAATAAAAGCAACAATTACATTACTTAGTGCCTACGCTTCAGGAGTAGGGGTCTTCCAGTTCCTACAATCATCATTCTATTTTCTGCCTCTACAGGTGGAGAATGTTCTCTTTACTCTGTCCCTTCCTGTCACCCAGATATAAGCCCCTGAAATAAGAATAAGGGCAATTAAAGAGTTATGAACTAACTTAGTGAATTATTGTTTCAAAAGACAATAATGAGGTAAGGATTCTTTGAATTTCACAATTCGAATGAATGGGTTTTGACAAGCCATTTTAGAACACTGATTCTTAATTTTTTGGGGACACAGATACCTTTGAGTATCTAATAAAAGCTGTAGATTATCTATCCAGGAAAGTATACTATTTCAGGAGGTTCTTAGACTCCCTGATGCCTATGCATGCCCCTATTAAAAATGTCTTCAGTATCTCCCAAGCCATTGTACTTATCTTCCTCTTCATCACTGCCCCTTCTCCCTGTCTCCATGCCCCGCCCTCAACCTCTCTTTGCTTCTTTATATTTACGTAACAGTCTCTTCTTTCTCTGTGGATGTCTCTGTTCTCTCTCTCCCTTTCTTTTCTTTTTTCTTTATTGCCAGAAGTTCCTCTTTCTCCTCTTTTTCTCTTCTTATCTAACTAGAATATGGATTTGAAGTATATTTTAAAACACTTGTGATGTAGTTTGCATGGTTTTAATTTTATTGGAATATTTCATTTTAAAATGTTGTAATCACTTTATATGCAATCCAGAAACAGCAAATAAAAGGAAAAAGTCACTTTTAATACTACCATTTTGATTCAGGGCTATTATCATTTTTGTGTACTTTATTCTAGTGTTGTTTAATGCAGTATATATTTATACTATTGTGTATGAGTGATATTCTGACTATAGAAGTTTTCAAGGACATAGTGAATTTATTTTTTTAAGGAATTGCTTTAGGGATTACAATATGCATCTTTAATTTATCACAATCTAATCTTCTTCAAGTTAATACTGCTTACTTATAATAAAATACAGGAACTTTGTACCAATTGACTTCTAATCTCTTCTTTGCACTATTGCTATCATAAATATTACATCTGCATACATTATAAACTCAATGCAGTGTAAAAACTT